CCCTCGGCCCTCCCCAGCCGGCGCGCAGCCCCGGTTTTGCCCTTGAGGCCTTCCCAGCCCTAGATGACTAGTATGACCTCCCGCTCACGGTGACTCACTCTGCGCAGGTTTCCCAGCGCCCTGGCCCTGCCGACAGCCCCAGACCTTTCACCTTTGACCTCCTCGCGCCTGGATCTCTGAATAACTAATGAGCCCTTTGGCTCTTGTGCAGGCTCTCCACGCACGGATGCCGCGTGTGCAGTGCGGTGGCAGGACTGTCCTGTCTGTAATGTTTGATGAGTGTGTACCTGCAGTCCTGTCACACCCCGCCAAAGCCCGCTGTCCGGTTGAGAAGTCACTGGAGGGGACATAATAAATACGTTCCCGTAGTGATCTTCAAGGACAAGAGCTTTCCCTGGGGGTGGTCTGGGGCTGGAAGGCCCTGGTGCGCTGATTTGGCGCCTGGGAAGATAAGTGTCTGTCAACCCTGATGCAAAGGTAGAACGCTTCCCTCTGTTGGAGAGATTCTGGAGAGGTGTACTGGCATGTAACTTTTGATCCCTGTTTGTTCTTTCTTGGTTGTTGTTTGGGTTTGTTTTTTTTCTTTCTGGGTCTTAATAGTTTTCTCTCTTCTGCAGATATGCATCCAGTGCCCAGGGAGTGTGGGAAATTGGTCAGAAGTGGCCCATTATTGTAAGCAGACGCCAGAGCTAATGTTGCACGCCCGCTGCTGCCTGAATCAGAATGGCACCATCCTGGGGTGAGGCAGAAGACTTCGCTGGATAGTGGGAAAGAGTTCCAAACCCAGATTTGTCAAGGCTTGCCTGACTGGCTTTTGGGATAAATATTTGTGCTTATTTTGGAGGCATCTCAACCATAATTCTCAGACTTCTAAACCTGTTACAGCATTTTTGGCTGGGTAAACAACCCTGTGGTTCATCCTGGTTGAAACTGCATACATGTCCTTTTTTTTTTTTTTTAATGTTTTTATTTCTTTTAGAGAGAGAGGAAGGGAGAGGGGTAGAAACATCAATGAGAGAGAACCGGCTATCACCTACCTCTTGCATGCTCCCTACTGGGGATGGGATTCCAACAGTGACCTGGTTCATGGGTCATGCGTAACCACTGAGCCATACCAACTGGGCTCCATTCTTTAATTCCAGCATCTTTTGTGAATTCTCCTTACTACTAAATACCACAGTAATATATTTTTTTTACTCCCACTTATCCTTAATGTCTGTACTAGTCAATTTTATTTCTATACTGCCCTGTGATTTATTCCATACTAGAGGCCCGGTGCACTATTTGTGCACCGTTGGGGTTCCTCGGGGTTCCTTGGCCTGGACTGCGCCCTCTTGCAATCTGGGACCCCTCAGGGGATGTCACCCCCTCAGGCCAGGTTAAGGGACCCCAACTGTGCGCCATCTGTTGGGGGAGGACTCTAGGGGGAGGGCTCTAGGGCTCGGGCTCTAGGGCGCATCCTGCTGGTCTAGCCTAGTCAGGATCAGCTGGACTGTAGCAAGCTAACCTATCCGTCAGAGCATCTGCCCCCTGATGGTCCGTGGGCATCATAGCAACTGATCAGATAGTCCAACAATGGTTGGACACTCAGCATATTAGGCTTTTAATGTTTATATTGATCCTATTTTTGGTCTTGTTCTCCTACTACATTGTAAGCCATTTGAAAGCTAGAAAGAAAGAAAGGAAGGAAGCTAATATACTGAGGGTTTTATTTTTATATTCCAAATTTGTGCAGTTAGTAGGTGCTCCATAAATATTTGTAGAATAGAGGAACAGACAGCAATAGATAATAAAGTGGCATGCTCCTTAATATCCAGCATTTTACATCCAATCTGTGGTAGAAAATGCACTTAGAGAAAACTTTCGATTATGTGATTTGGATTTTTTTTTCCATTTGAAGGTCCTTTGTGGATCTGAGGTCATATCATAATATGAGATTCACTAATCTAGACAAGAAACTAATTTCTTCCAATATATGCATAGATACAAAGAATTTTCTGCCATGATGGAAATATTCTATATACCATTCAATACAGTAGCTGTTACCCACATGTTAATGGTTAACTGAAATATGGCTAGTGCAAATGAGGGACTGAATTTTTTTAAATTTAAGTTAATTTCAGTAGCTACACGTAGCTAGTTAGTGGTAACTAAATTGGACAGTGCAGCATTAAAACATCTACTACAGCACCTAGTTTGTGGCCCTGAACACATCTGTGTTCAACTAATATTTAGCAGAAAAAGGGATGTTTTAGCCTCTAATGGGTAAAGAGAGACACGTAGTTACACTGATTACCTTATTTCCTCAGGTTGGATCTCCAGAACTGTTCTCTGAAGCACCTTGGTCCAAACTTTCCTCAAGCACATACTGCTGTCATCATGTAAGTGGTTAGTTATCCTCCTTACCAAAAAGTGACTATGAGAAAGGGTTGATGGGAAAGTCGTTGAGGATGTACTCCTCAAAAAATGTTTGAATACTGATACCTAAACTTGGACAGCTCAGAATGAAAACTGGAATACCAGTCCAGGAAGATGGGTTAATAGAGTGTTTTTCTAAAGCACAGTGCTAATAGCGTGTGCTTTTCAGAGACCTGCACGCAAACCCCCTCAAGGATGACTTGGCCAACACCTTCCACGGCTTTATCCAGCTCCAGACTCTGTGAGTAGGGGTATGGGGTTGGGGAGAGAATCAAAGAGGGGCAGTGCTGTGAGCTCAGCAACGTAGGTTGCATATTAAGACTGCTTATGCTTGTTCAGGATACTACCAGAAGATGTCAACTGTCCTGGTGGTATTAATGCCTGGAATACTGTCACATTTTACCCAAATAATCAAACCTGTGAAGGACAAAGGAACCTTTGCAATAGCACTGGGGACACAGGTATGCTGTTTCCTCTCTACCCTTTTGGGGAACTTCCTTTCCTCCTTTGGATTCTCCCCAATTAGATCAGAAAGATAGTAAAATTGCTCATGTGCCTTTTTGTTCAGGTTTCTGAGGCTATAACCCCTTGGAAAGAAAGGATCTTAAAATATATTTATATTATGTTCTGATTATCTATACTCTTTCTTCTCCTTTGACATGGAAATAATTGAAAGAATCTAATTTGAAGCAGATATTTGAGAAATATGAGATCCAGTGATGTTCTCTGTTTCTCTCTGACTCCTAGAAATATGTCCTGAGAATGGATCTTGTGTGCCTGATGGTCCAGGTCTTTTGCAATGTGTTTGTGCTGATGGCTTCCATGGCTACAAGTGTATGCGCCAGGTGAGGAATTAATTCTTCTAATTAGGGATGAGAGAACTGCATAGAGCAAAAACCTCTCAGAAAGAAGAGCCATAAGACCAGGAGTTGATGCAAATCACCTAGTGAAGGAAACTGAAAGAATTGCCCCAGCTGAAGGGATAGTTATAATAGGAAAAAACTGGGTGTTAGGATGTAGCCCTTGGAGTAACACTATATGAGGTGTATGAGGTTTTTTTAAAAATCTTTTATTCACAGGGCTCGTTCTCGCTGCTTACGTTCTTTGGGATTTTGGGATCCACCACATTATTCATCTCCATCCTTCTTTGGGGAACCCAACGCCGAAAAGCCAAGGCTTCATGAACTACCTAGATCTTCCTACTGACCTAAAGGTCATCCCGCTCCATCTTAGCCCAGCCAGGGAGATTTGCTTCCTAGACGGGCTGGCCAGAGCCTCCTCCAGGACAAGGCCAAGGTTGGAAGGAAGATGGAACATTGCACAGTGCTGGAAGGTCACACTCCAGTCGAGGAGCGGACTAGTCCCAGGTCCCATTTGTGCTGCTAACGATAATAAATTTTTTTTTTAAAGGAAGGTGCCCCCGTCTTTGTGTGTTTCTTGGTTGGGGTGGAAGTGGGTTTTCTTCTCCACGTTTCTCCAGGCTCAGCGCCAGGTAGTCCGACGCCTGTGACCTCGCCGCCGCCCTGGCCCCGCCCCTTCCCTGCCGCCCCGCCCC